CACAATAAAGCATATGCAAAAAGTATACCATAGTACTATTTACCATCTGTAATTTTCGATTAATATGGTATACATTAGTATCTATGTCGAGAGAGCTCAAGCATCAAGACTATGGGGTGTAAGACAAACGTATTATCTCAAGGCACAGATGTCTGCTATATCCGTATCCAAAAATCGTGGGTTAGTTTTCTAAAGTATTATCACACTTGTACAACTAGGAGTGTTCTGATCCTTGTAAAAATATATTGCTATTTAGAATATGAGAAAAAGGTTTGTTAAAGGGAGAAAGAAAAGAAAAGAAAGAGACTCGAGTGGAAATGGAAAAGGAGTATGGGACGTAATATCAGAGTGAGGTGGAATGGGACAAGGAAGACAAATAAATAGGGGGAGAAAAAAAAAAAAAAAAAAAAAGGGGGGGGGGGGGGGAATTGAGGATTAGAATTAAATAAGTATAACTAAGCCAATCACATCACATAGTATCGGCCTGGGTATAACAGATGCTGTCTTAAATTAAGGTTATAATCTCTTTAAAGTCCGGTAAAGTCCAGTAAAGGAATTATTCCTGAGGAGAAAGTTCTAGAGGCTTTCCAGGTTACCAATATCCAACAATTTTCATCTTGACTCCTTCAAACAAAAGTTTATTGTGTAATCAGCTTTTGTCAAGTTGGCAGGTCCACTCACTCTTGGAATTTACATTGATTCCTCTGAATTGATCACAGCCCTATCAGTGTATGGTCAGTAGAAATGAGCCAACCCAAAACTAGCCTGTTCCACTAGAAAGAGTTATTTTTGTATTTAACAGTTTCCTGCTGTCACTGGCATCTAAGGAAGCTTCGGGTGCTAACACTTGTGGCATCCTTAGAAACCACTAATGTCACAGAGAATCCCTGCTCTTTTTTAAAAAAGGGGAAAACAATAGTAGTTACAGAACATCACTGCCCAAGTATGGCCACTGGCCATATATGAGCTGTGACACTGGTCAAATATGGCCATGTGAGAAACAACACAGATCGCTCTACTGAAAGCAGGGATGTTTTTGTCTCCCCTATCACATGCTTTAGTGAAACAGCACATATTGCACACATTGTACATAGTTAGGCACACAGTTAACCCTTTTATTGCCCCGATGTTAACCCCTTCCTGCCCAGCATCATTACTACAGTGTCAGTGTATTTTATTAATACTGATCACTGTATTAGTGTCACTGGGGATGTCAGTGTCATTTAGCCAGAATGTCAGAATTCCCATCGTACTATCACAGTCCCACTATAAGTCGCTGATCGCCGCCATTACTAGTATTAGAAAAAAATTTCAGTATATATACACCATTATTTGTAGACTCTTTAACTTTCACGCAAACCAATTAATATACACTTTTGGGGATTTTTTTTATCAAAGACATATAGCAGAATGTATTTTGGCCTATATTTATGAAGAATTTTTTTTTAATTGGATATGTTTTATAGCAAAAAGTAAAAATTATTTTTTTCTCAAACTTTTTGGTCTTTTTTCATTTATAGCACAAACAAAAATAAAAAACCCAGTGGTGATCACATAGCACCAAAAGAAAGTTCTATTTGTGTAAAAAAAAAAAAAAAATCAAAGTTACACTTACGGTAATGTATTTTCCAGCAGTCTTTCAGGACAGCACCTTGATAGACCTCGGCTTCTCCCCACCTGAGGAAACACCTCCACCCAAAATAAAAACCTCTGTCACTCCCCTCCGACCTAAGTTCTTGGAAAAACACCTAGGGAGACATAACATGAGACACCAAAACACAATAAAACATCTCTCATAAATATTATACAACAGAGGGTGGGTAAAAGGTGCTGTCCTGAAAGACTACTGGAAAAGACGTTAACGTAAGTGTAACTTTGATTTTCCCCTTTTCGTCTTTCAGGACAGCACCTTGAGAGGATAAGCGAGTACTCACCCCTAGGGCGGGCACACTGCTTGCTGAACCTTACGTCCGAAGGCCTGCTCCTGCACCAAGACCAGGTTGAGTCTGTAATGCCTAACAAACGTCCCCATAACTGGACCAAGTTGCGGCCCTACAGATCTGTCCCAGGGAGGCCCCTGCCTGTTCCGCTTGTGTGGCCGCCATGGCACGCATAGAATGCACCCTGATGCCTTCTGGGACCTCTAGGCCCTCGGCCTGATATGCCTGCTCGATTGCCAATCTCAACCACCTAGCCAACGTGCATCTGGAAGCTTCCTGCCTTTTCTTGCCCCACAAAAAAGAAACAAAAAAAGAATTGGATTTACGAAACTTCTTCGTCCTATCCAGATATAGGAGCACACACCTCCTCTCACATCCAACGTGTGAAACTTTACTTCTCTTTCACATGAAGGATTATCGCAAAATGAAGGTAAAACAATGTCCTGACCTCTGTGAAAACCTGAGGCCACTTTGGGTACAAAGGCCGGATCCGTCCTGAATGTAACCCTGTCTAAAAAAACTTGAAAAAAAGGCTCTCTGATTGACAGAGCTTCTAGCTCACTCACCCTCCTTGCCGTGGTGATTGCTATAAAAAAAAAAAAAAAAACTGTCTTGAATGTGAGGGCCCTCAGGGAGCTGGAAAATAAAAGGTTCAAATGAAGACTCCATTAGTACCTTAAGCACCCTCAACAAATCCCACTTTGGAAATGGTCTATTTCCTCCCGTCTCTGTCTTGACAAAGGCCCTAAAAATTTTTAACCACCAATGCTTCTGTCACGGTCTGGGTCAGGTTCAGAGACCAGTTCCTATAGCAGTAAAAAGCTTTCCTGAAACCAGCAGGATCGGTACACCAGCGGGTCACCCTGGGAAACAGCACAGGCTCACCTGAGGTGCCGGGTCTAAGTATTAACCGGTTTTCACCAGAGCTCCTAGTGGTGGAGATGGATTTGGCTGCATGTTAACACCAGGTCACAGACCTCAGGATCACCCCACCAGGAAATGGGCAAGCTGGAAACCAATAGCGGATCAAACAGGTTAGGGGTCAAACAGAAGCGGAGTCAGTCACAAGCCAAGGGTCGGTCACAAATGGTAGCAGATGAGGATGAGGCAAAAATCGTAGTCAGTAGCAAGCCAAAGGTCGGTAGAGAAGATGTAGACAGCAGCAGGAACGATAAGTGGGATATTGGCCTGGACGGCACAATAATCTGGCAAGGAGGAAGTGCATGGACATGGATTTTATCAGGAAGTTCATGGGAGGAGCAAGGAATTCAAGGTTCAAGAGAACACAAGGCATAAGGCAGGATTATCCAATAGATCAGGCAGAGTATAGTCCAGCATCCCAGGTAGCTCAGTGAGAAGAAACATTGCCTCTCACTGCAGAAGGTCCAGGTTTGATCCCAGGCTCTGACAGGACTCCCCTCCTCACAGGACGTCCCCTGGATGTCTTAGGACCAAGCTTGTGAAGAAACCTCTGGTGGAATTCTCTTGTTAATCTAGGAGCATGGACATTTTCCTCAGGCTCCCAAGAATTTTCCTCTTGCCCATATCCATCCCATTGGACAAGATATTGCAATTTTCCTCTAAACATCCTAGAGTCAAGAATCTTCTACAACACATATTCTTCTTCACCCTGTACCTCAACAGGTGGAGGAGGTGGAAGAATTCTTCTAGGGAAAGGATTTTCATGAAATGGTTTGAAAAGTGATACATGAAAAACAGGGTGAATCTTCATACTGTCAGGAAGTTTTAAGTGAAAGGTGACTGGGTTGATCTGAGCAGAAATCTGGAAAGGTCCCACAAACTTTTGGCCCAACTTTGCAGATGGAACATGAACCTTCAGATTTTTATTAGATAGCCAAACCTTGTCGCCCACATGAAAGCTAGAAAGTGATCTGCGGTGACTGTCGGCAGCCTTTTTATAACATTCCTGAGCCTCCCCCAAGGTCTCGATCAACTTCGCCCGAATCTCCTGCAATGCAGTTACTCTGTTGGCAACAGCAGGAATTTGAGTTGTGATAGGGAGATCAGGAATAAAAACTGGATGATACCCCATATTGAGGAAAAAGGGGCTTTGGGAGGTGGAGCTATGTTTAGCATTGTTATAGGCAAACTCTGCCGTAGGTAAATAGTCCACCCAGTCATCCTGAAGATAACTGACAAAACACCGAAGGTACTGTTCCAAAGTTTGATTGGTCCTCTCTGTCTCACCATTAGACTGTGGATGAAAAGCAGAGGACAAGGTTAACAGTTACCCCTACAGCTGAACAAAAGCTTTTCCAAAATTTTTAAGTAAACTGTACTCCTCTATCAGATACCACATCATCAGGAATTCCATGTAATTTAAAAACATCTCCAACCATCAACTCCGCAGTTTTGTTCAGCAGACGGTACCCCCTTAACCACTTGCCTACCAGGCACTTATACCCCCTTCCTTACCAGGCCAATTTTCAGCTTTCAGCACTGCCGCACTTTGATTGACAATTGCGCGGTCATGCAGCACTGTAACCATATGAAATTTTGATCATTTTTTTCTCACAAATAGAGCTTTCTTTTGGTGGTATTTAATCGCCACTGGGCGCTTTACTTTTTGCGCTATAAATTTAAAAACTGCAAAAAATTTGAAAAAAAAAAAAAAACGTTTCTTTGTTTCTATTATAAAATTTTTCAAACAGGTATTTTTTCTCCTTCACTGATGTGCGTTGATGAGGCAGCACTGATGGGCACTGATAGGCAGCACTAAAGGGCACTGATAGGCAGTACTAATGAGGTGTCACGGATAGGCGGCACTGATAGGCAGCACTATTGAGGTGTCACGGATAGGCGGCACTAATATGCAGCACTGATAGGCAGCACTGATAGGTGACACTGATGATTAGGACTGATAGATGGCACTGACTGGCATCACTGCTGGGCACTGACTGGCGGCACTGACTGGCACAACCGCTGGGCACTGACTGGTGGCACTGACTGGCAGCACTGCTGGGCTGCACTGGTGGGTGGCACTGGTGGGCAGCACTGGTGGGTGGGCACAGGTGGGTGCGCACAGGTGGGTGGCACTTCTGGCCACAGGTAGGTGGCACTTCTGGGCACAGGTAGGTGGCACTTCTGGGCACAGGTGTGTGACACTGCAGAGTGGCACAGGTGGGTGCACTGCTGGGCACAGGTGCGCAGAACTTGTGGGTGGCACTGCTGGGCACCGATCATCAGGGCACTGATCATCAGTGGCCCTGATGATCGGTGCCGATCCTCGCTCTGACAACTGCCGGTTCTCGGCAGTACTTTCCTCACGATCTGACAGCGTGAGGAAAGTGCAGCCGAGAACCGGCACTTGCATTTCCCTGTGATCAGCGTGTCATTGGACACCGCTGATCACGTGGTAAAAGGCCGGTATGATCGGCCTTTTACCACATCTAGTGATCAGCTGTGTCCGTAGGACACAGCGATCACGGGGCGCGCAGGAGAGCGCGTTCTGGGGGGACGTCATGTGACGTCCACTCAGAACTGGCCGGCCGCAGTTTAGCCGTCATTCGGCTATCTGCGGTCGGCAACTGGTTAACAGGTATGAAATGAGCCATTTTAGTAAGGCGGTCGACTACCATCTTGGTAGTCATCATTTCTTTTGAGGGAGGTAATTTGACTATAAAGTCCATAGAAATTGACCCCCAAGGTCTTGATGGAACAGGAAGTGGCTGGAGCAACCCCAAAGGAGAAGCTCGCTGTGTCTTATGACGTGCGCACGTCAGACAAGAGGCCACATAGCGTTTGATATCCTTCTTGTAACTAGGCCACCAGAAGGAACGTGACAGAAGGTCATCAGTTTTTGAAATCCCAAAGTGTCCTGCCAGTTTGGAGTCATGAACTAATTTGAGGACTTCCACCCGAGCAGACTCAGGTACATAGACACGATGTGCTAGAAACCAAAAGCCATTCTTGTACTCAAGTTTTTTGTCCCTAAGAGGATCCCTGAGAAGTGGGTCATTCTCATACCCCTCTTTGAGAAGACTCAAGAATGTCTTTGCACTTGTGGCCCCTAGGAAGTTCTTTTGAGTCAAGATTGAACATTCGTAGTTGCCCTCCTGGGGAGGTTCAGACAGCATCCTTGATAAGGCATCGGCCTTACCATTCCTGGATCCAGGTCGATATGATATAACAAAATTGAATCTGGAAAAGAATAAAGACCGGCGTGCTTGTTTGGAAGACAATCTCTTGGCCGAGCGAATGAATTCCAGATTTCTATGGTCAGTGAGAACAGTTACAGGATGATTAGCCCCTTCTAGCAGATGCCTCCATTCAGAAAAGGCTTCCTTAATTGCCAGTAGCTCTTTATTCCCAATGTCGTCATTTCTTTCGGCTGAGGACATCAAATGAGAAAAGTAGGCACAAGGATGAAGCTGCATTTTTTCATCACTTCGCTGAGACAGGATAGCTCCCATGGCAGAATTGGAAGCATCCACTTACACTATAAAGGGTAGTTCAGGATCGGGATGTACCAAAATTGGTGTGAAAGTGAAAAGAGTTTTCAGCTTTTCAAAACGCAGCCTGTGCCTCAGGGGTCCACACGAAGGGTACCCCCTTCTTCGTCAGCTGTGTGTTTGGAGCTATCACTTTAGAAAAATTTCTTATAAATTTTCTGTAAAAGTTGGCAAACCCGACGAAACGTTGAATTTCCTTAACATTTCCAGGGGCTGACCAATCTACCACTGCTTTGATCTTCTCAGGATCCATACTCACTCCCTCTGGAGAAATGATATAGCCTAAGAACTGGATCTGGGTTTGTTCAAACTCACATTTCTCCAATTTAATGTAAAGTCTATTTTTCCTTAATCTTTCAAAGACTGTGCAAACATGTTTGCGGTGCTCTTCCCAATTATCGGAAAAGATAAGAATACCATCCAGATAGGCAATTACAAATTGGTCCAACAGATCACGAAAAACATCATTGATAAAATTCTGAAAGGTTGTAGGGGCGTTGCAAAGTCCAAACGGCATCACCAAGGATTCGAAATGCCCATACCTGATTCTGAAAGCGGTTTTCCATTCGCCTCCTTGACGAATGCGGACAAGGTTATATGCCCCTCGTAAATCAAGTTTTGTAAAGATCTTGGCAGAACGAAGTCTTTCCAACATTTCAGAGATCAAGGGTAATGGATAGCGGTTTTTAATAGTGATTTTATTCATGTCTCTGTAGTCATACATTGACGCAATGTGGAGTTTCTTTTCAACGAAGAACAGGGCTGCTCCTGCAGGAGAAGTTGAGTGTCTAATAAAGCCCTTCTCCAAATTCTCATCGATCCACACCCTGAGTACTATTTATTCAGGTTCCGACAGGTTGAAAAGGTGGCCAAAAAGGTATTTCTGCCCCTGGGAGCAGCTCAATGGGGCAATCATATGGGGGATGAGGGGGTAATTGATCCGCATTTTTCTTGTCACAGACAAGGCAAATTCTCATATGACTAGATAGCCACTATATATCACCTTGTGATTCCTTGGTTGGTGACGAACTTGGTCGGCAAGGTTTTTTGCAATATTTTTCACAGTGGGGGGACGTAAAATCTATAGTCCGTGCTCCCCAGTTGATGGAAGGATTATGAGTGGAGAACCAAGGAATGCCCAGGATGATGGGAAACTTGGGTGACGTAATCAGCTGAAAGCTGATGGTCTCACAATGGTCCGCCTCAAACAACAGTACCAGGGGAACCGTTTTATGGGTAACAGGTCCTGAAGATAAGGGTGACCCATCAACTGTCTCCATATCAATAGGGGTAAATGTATTTCTTGCTTGAATATTATTGTTGTTAGCAAACTCTATATCCATAAAGTTCCCCCCAGCCCCGGAGTCCAGCATAGTTGAGCAGGAGATTTCACAACCCTCAGATACAAGTTTAATAGGGATAACAAAATGAGAGAGTAGTGAGTTCATTTTATTCTCTTCAGGAATCAGTGGGGAGACAGACTGGCTTATAGAGTTTATTTGTTCAGGCGCAATCACATCAGTCACAGCAATTGTTCTTCTAACTTTGTTAGGACAATTAATTGCATAATGATCAGAGTCCCCACAATATAGACATAAATTCTCTGAACATATTCTCTCTCTCCTGAATGGAAATGGATCTCTTGATAGCATCGACCTGCAAAGGCTCAGGAGTGTTAGAACCCAAAGAGACTCTTGAATCCTGCAGAAAGTTGCAAGCCCCTATTACTTTCAAACATTTACAGCCTCTCCTTCCTCCTTTCTGTAAGTCTTTGATCGATTCAGATACACCATTGGATGAATTCCTCAAGATCGTTAGGAATATCTACTCTGGCAAGCTCATCTTTTACTTGTTCAGAAAGCCCTTGGCGGAACTGGCTCTTTTGTGCTGCACGGTTCCAAGTGGTATCTGCGATCCAACTTCTGAATTCGGCTGTGTATTCAGCGACCGAGCGTCTACCCTGCCGCAGACTATGCAATTTTGCTTCGGCAGTAGCACAACGGTTGGGATAATCAAAAACGTGATTCATGTCGGTCAAAAAGGTATCAAAATCATTCAGAATGCCATGGTTTTGCTCTATATAGGGGAGGCCCAAGCTAGAGTTTCCCCAGTCAGAAGCCCAATAATAAACATTACCTTCTTTTTCTCTAAAGGGAACGCAGCAGGGTACATTTGGAAATATTTACGACATTGAATAAGGAAACCCCTGTAGTGGTGGCGGTCTCCATTAAACTTAGATGGTTGGGGCTGGGGCATATGTGAGCCAGTATACTCTTGGTTCAAGCAGTTGTCTTCGCAGAGCCTGAATCTCCCCCTGTTGCCTATCCACAATGCTTTCTAGTTTGGCAACTTTTTCTTGATAGGTCACCCCAAATTCCTGCAGCTCAGCAATCTGCCTGCCTAACGTTTGCCATAGCGGTCTCCATGTTTGGGCCAGATTATTCTGTCACGGTCTGGGTCAGGTTCAGAGACCAGTTGCTATAGCAGTAAAAGGTTTACCTGAAACCAGCAGGATCGGTACACCAGCGGGTCACCCTGGGAAACAGCGCAGGCTCACCTGAGGTGCGGGGTCTAAGTATTAACCGGTTTTCACCAGAGCTCCTAGTGGTGGAGATGGATTTGGCTGCATGTTAACACCAGGTCGCAGACCTCAGGATCACCCCACCAGGGAATGGGCAAGCTGGAAACCAATAGCGGATCAAACAGGTTAGGGATCAAACAGAAGCGGAGTCAGTCACAAGCCAAGGGTCGGTCACAAATGGTAGCAGATGAGGATGAGGCAAAAATCATAGTCAGTAGCAAGCCAAAGGTCGGTAGCGAAGATGTAGACAGCAGCAGGAACAATAAAGCAAAATATTGGCTGGGAAGGCACAATAATCTGGCAAGGAGGAAGTGCATGGACATGGCTTTTATCAGGAAGTTCATGGGAGGAGCAAGGAGTTCAAGGTTCAAGAGAAAACAAGGCATAAGGCAGGATTATCCAATAGATCAGGCAGAGTGTAGTCCAGCATCCCAGGTAGCTCAATGAGAAGAAACATTGCCTCTCACTGCAGAAGGCCCAGGTTTGATCCCTGGCTCTGACAGCTTCTTTAGCTAATGGGGACTCAAAAAACACACTTAGAGCCGATATCTGGCTCTTAAGAGTACTAACCGCTAGCCCTTTATCGGCCCCCTTTTTTAAAGATAGTTATTAAGAGGTCGTACAATAAATTACCGTATCACCCAGTAAATGGTCTCCATTCAGTAGCCAAAAAAGGCATGCAAAAAAAGAGGGGTTGTGAAAAGAAATTCACAAAGAAAGCGGCTACATTATGAACAGAATGTGATACTCAGAAAAATTTCCAAAAATTATGCTTTATTACACATACAAATTTGACATATGGGCAATCGCCCTGGTTTACCATCACCTCAGTATGAGACAATACACACAGACCTAAAACCATATAAAATGACACCAGTACCGGTCTAAATGCATGTGCAACAAGGACAGTGACTACAAGAGTCTAAAGTCCCTGTAGCACTGGCGCATAGGTGAACACTTCCCAAAGGAGGTGTATACAAAAATTATACCATAGGTATACCATAACACGTGTTATAAATATGTAGACTATGCTACTACCAGAATGGTTATATCCCAAACAGGGAGTTTCAAAAAATTATACCATAGATATAAGTATCACATATATGCAATGCAGCAAGCACAGTATGCGTCAAAAAGAAAGCATGCCTCTAGGCCTATATGAGACAAAACATAAATGTCATGTAAATGATGCAACACATTCCTATGCCGGCACAAGTGGTTGGGGCCCATTCATCTGTGATTATTACCAGCTGTTTCCTAGGGCTCTTGAATAAAAATATGCCCCATTTTTTACCAGGATGGAAGGATAGATGCATAAAGCAGCGCACTACTTGAAATGGTTTCTTCACCACTACATGTGGACTACATACCACTTTCTGTGAGAAAAACAAGACACA